TAAATATGTTATGCACAGATCCAAACAATCAAAATAGAAATTATTATTATTATTATTATTATTATTATTATTATTATATACTCAAGTATAAGCTGACCCAAATATAAGCCAACCAGGACCTTAAAAATGGCTGAAATACTTGGCTTATTCTCAAGTATATACAGTATTATTATTATTATTATTATTATTATTATTAGAATCATAGAATAATAGAGTTAGAAGGGACTGCATGGGCCATCTAGTCCAAACTCCTCCTGCCACGCTGGAAAACACAATCAAAGTACCCCTGACAGATGGCCATCCAGCCTCTGTTTAAAAGCTTTCAAGGAAGGAGCTTATTATTATCATCATAATTAGGTGCTTATTATTATTATTATATACTCAAGTATAAGCTGACCCGAATATAAGCCAACCAGGACCTTAAAAATGGGTGAAATACTCTGCTTATTCTCAAGTATATCCGGTATTATTATTATTATTAGAATCATAAAATAATAGAGTTGGAAGGGACTAAAAGGGACATCTAGTTCAACCTCCTTCTGCCACACAGGAAAACATAATCAAAATACTCCTGACAGATGGCCATCCAGCCATCTTTTAGCTTTCAATGAAGCTTTTAGCTTTCAAGGAAGGAGCTTATTATTATCATCATAATTAGGTGCTTATTATTATTATTATTATTATTATTATTATTATTATTATTATTATTATTATATCCCTTGATATTCATTGACCAAGGTAAAAAGGTTTTGTTTGTGTGTGTGTGTGCGAGTGTCAGGAGCGACTTGTGAAATTGCAAATCACTTCTGGTGTGAGATAATTGGCTGTCTGCAAGGACGTTGCCCAGGCGACATTGCCCGGATGTTCTGATGTTTTACCATCCTTGCGGGAGGCACAAAGTGGCTCACAACATTACAAAACAGAGTGTGGAGGGAGAGGGGGCAAAGGTCAGAGAGGCCGAAGTGAGTCCCCTGCTCCTCCCATTGTCCCTGCCTGCCGACTGCGGTGGGTCTGTGGCAGGGAAAGGGCCAGCTAGCCTGTGGCTGGAAAGGGCACGGGGTCACGGGGAATTAGCTTAAGCCAGGCATTAAGGGCCGCATTAAGGGCCGTCTGGCTGGCCGCCGTCTGCGCTGATTGTGCGGCTGCAGGAAGGAGGCCGGAAGCCCCTCTGATCCGCCAGCTGCGCCCCTTCCTAGATTTGGAGAATCTGAAGACAGCAGTGGTCATCTCAAGGCCGGACTCCTGCAATGCAAAGCTGTATTCTGGGTTCCCTTTGTACCAAGTTCAGAAACTCCAGTTGGTTCAAAACAGAGCAGCCAGATTGGTTATGGGAACGTCCAGGAGTGAGCACATGTCAATTATGATAGTAAATGTCACTCCGTCGACTGCCCATAGGTTTCTAGGCAAAGTACAAAGTGTTCTCTTGGACTTTTAAACCCCTGCAGAGTTTGGACTCGGTTTCCCTACTAGAGGATGATGGCCTTTCCCTGCACAATCTGTCCGAACATATCTCCCTCTATGAACCACTGCAGAGTTTAAGATCACCTGGGGAGGCCCTGATATCGGTCCCACCTTCTTTGCAGGCACAATTGGAGGAGACGAGAGACAGGGCTTTCCTTCTTTCTCAGTGGTGGCCCCTCGGCTGAGGAACTCCCTCCACAGGGAGATTAGACCAGCCCCCTCCCCCCTGACCTTTTGCAAGAGAGTGAAAATGTGGCTTTGTGACCAAGCCTTTAGAGAACTAGTGCAATAGAAAGACTTGGAACCATGTGCAATGACGATTACGCTCGGGGATGTTTGAATGCATCGTTTTTAAATGTTTTGATTGTTTATAATGTACTTTTAAATTCTATTTTAATATTTATTTAAGTGTACATTATGTTTTAAGGCATTGAATTGCTCCCTGGATGTAAAGCCACCTTGAGTCCACTCTGGGTTGAGAGAGAAAGGCAGGGGAGAAATGCAAATCAATGTCATAAATCTATATAAATAAAAATGTCATGTCCGTTTGTGGGATTAACGTAACTCAAAAACCACTGGGCGAATTGACACCAAATTTGGACACAATACACCTCTCAGGTCAATGAGTGACCATCACTCATAAAAACACTGAAAAACACAGCAGAAGGGACTTAAAAAGCCAAAAAATTTAAAAAAAACATTACAACATATGCGCAAAACCACATATATACAGATATGCGCAAATATATACACACACAAAACACATATTACACAGACTGGGCCACAGCGACGCATGGCAGGAGATGGCTAGTAATATAATAATATTTATTTCTTACCAACCCTCTCCTTGCAACTCACAAGTCAAACCACACAAACATTGTAAAGGCTGTTAGGAATGGTGAGAGTCCAAAAAACCCGGAGGGAGGGCCGAAGTTGGCCCAGGCCTGGTGTCGCAATGTTTGTGTGGTTTGACTTGTGAGTTGCAAGGAGAGGGTAAGAAATACATATTATTATATTACTAACCGTCTCCTGCCATGTGTTGCTGTGGCCCAGTCTGTGTATGTGTGTTTTTTGTGTGTATATATTTGTGCATATCTGTATATATGTGGTTTTGCACATGCGCTGTAATGTATTTTTATTTTTTGGCTTTTTAAGTCCCTTTCACTGTTTTTTCCAGTGTGTTTATGAGTGATGGTCATTCGTTGACCTGAGAGGTGTCTTGTGTCCAAATTTGGTGTCCATTTGCCCAGTGGTTTCTGAGTTCTGTTAATCCCACCAACGAACATTACATTTTTATGCATATAGATTACTATTATTACTATTAATTACTAATTAGTGTGTTTTTTGTACTCATATGTTGTATGTATTTCATTGTGTTGTTATTTTGTTTTGGTTTTACTTTATTGCAATATGCTGTTGGGCTTGGCCTCATGTAAGCCGCCCCGAGTCCCCACTGGGGAGAGAGATGGTGGCGGGGTATTAAATAAAGTTTATTAATATTATTATTATATATCATTATCTTCCAGAGGGAGGGAGTGGGCCAACTTGGGCCTTCCCTACTTCCCTCAGAGCAGTGTTTCTCAACCTGGGGGTCGGGACCCCTGAGGGGGTCACGAGGGGGTGTCAGAGGGGTCGCCAAAGACCATAAGAAAACACAGTATTTTCTGATGGTTATGGGGATTCCATGTGGGAAGTTTGGCCCAATTCTATCGTTGGAGGGGTTCAGAATGCTCTGTGATTGTAGTTGAACTATAAATCCCAGCAACTACAACTCCCAAATGTCAAGATCTATTTTCTCCAGAATCCACCAGTGTCCACATTTGGGCATATTGAGTATTCGTGCCAAGTTTGATCCAGATCCACCATTGCATGAGTCCACAGTGCTCTCTGGATATAGGTGAACTATAACTCCCAAAGTCATGGTCAATGCCAATCAAACCCTTCCAGTGTTTTCCATTGGTCATGGGAGCCAAGTTTGGTTCAAATCAATCGCTGGTGGAGTTCAGAATCCTCTTGGATTATAAGTGAACTATAAATCCCTGCAACTACAGCTCCCAAATGACAAATATCAATTTTTTTTTGAGTGAAGGACATACATTGGCTTGTTAGGTGTCTTGTGTCCAAATTTGGTGTCAATTCATCCTGTGGCTTTTGAGTTCTGTTAATCCCACAAACGAACATTACATTTTTATTTATATAGATTTACGGCATTTCTATGCCACCCTTCTCACCCCGTATTGGGTGTTTGTGCCCAGTTTGGTCCAATGAACGAAAATGCATCCTGCCTGCATGTCAGATATTTACATTATGATTGATAACAGTAGTAAAATGACTGTCATGAAGTAGCAACAAAAATAATTATTATGGTTGGGGGTCACCACCACATGAGGGACTGTATTAAGGGGTCATGGCATTAGGAAGGTTGAGAACCACCGGCCTAGTGTCTTACCAAACTACAGCTCCCATAATCTCACAGCCTTGAGCCATGGCAGTCCAAGACCTAAAGCAGGCCTGGGCCAATTTGGACTCCCCTTCTGTCCCTCAGAGTGTTTTGGACTCCAACTCCCAGCATGCCTCGCGGCCTCAGGCCCTTTCCTGAGGGAGGGGGGAAGGGTCTCCCAAGGCATTGGGGTGCTTTGCATGGTCCTAATTAATGGGCTGAAAGGGGGGAGGTGGTAATGATAACAACAACAACACAGGAGAGGGGGGACCTCAGGACGTGACCCCTGACCCTCCAGAGCCACGCCCAGGCTTTAAATACACAGGTAAATAAACCAGGCCTGGGCCAACTTGGGCCTTCCTTCCCTATTTCCCTCAGAGTGTTTTGGACTCCAACTCCCAGCATGCCTCGCGGCCTCAGGCCCTTTCCTGAGGGAGGGGGGAAGGGTCTCCCAAGGCATTGGGGTGCTTTGCATGGTCCTAATTAATGGGCTGAAAGGGGGGAGGTGGTAATGATAACAACAACAACAACACAGGAGAGGGGGGACCTCAGGATGTGACCCCTGACCCTCGAGAGCCACGCCCAGGCTTTAAATACACAGGTAAATAAACCAGGCCTGGGCCAACTTGGGCCTTCTCTTTCTCAGAGTGTTTTGGACTCCAACTCCCAGCATGCCTCGCGGCCTCAGGCCCTTTCCTGAGGGAGGGGGGAAGGGTCTCCCAAGGCATTGGGGTGCTTTGCATGGTCCTAATTAATGGGCTGAAAGGGGGGAGGTGGTAATGATAACAACAACAACAACACAGGAGAGGGGGGACCTCAGGACGTGACCCCTGACCCTCCAGAGCCACGCCCAAGCTTTAAATACACAGGTAAATAAACCAGGCCTGGGCCAACTTGGGCCTTCCTTCCCTATTTCCCTCAGAGTGTTTTGGACTCCAACTCCCAGCATGCCTCGCGGCCTCAGGCCCTTTCCTGAGGGAGGGGGGCTGAGGCCGCGAGGCATGCTGGGAGTTGGAGTCCAAAACACTCTGAGGGAAATAGGGAAGGCCTGAGGCCTATTTTCGGGCCACCACGCCCCCCTGCCGTCCCCTTTCCTCACCTTGAAGACCTCAGAGAAGAACCCGGCGCCGATCTTCTCGCAGAAGAAGTCGTCCAGGCGGGCCAGGGTGGAGACGGCGCTGCGCAGGGCCCGGTACGACGAGGGGCGAGGCCGCGACGAGGACGGAAGAGGGGGCTCGGAGGGGCCTTCCTCACGATGAGGGGGAGCCGGAGCCGGTCTCCTCGGCGGCGGCGGCGGCGGCGGCGCTACCCCGCGGGGCCCCTCCATGGCCCGAGGCGCAGGGGGAGAACGAGGCGGAGACCCTCCCGGCGCGCCCCCGCGCATCCCCGCTGAGGGAAACAGCCAGGCAGGCAGGCCCTCCTCCTCCTCCTCCTCCTTCGCCTCCTCTCTCCCGCCTTCCTTCTGAGGCCTCACAAGAAGGGGCGGGGCTTCTACGTCACGAGGGGGCGGGGACAGCTCTCCCTCCTCCTTCTCAGATCCTAGGGGGCGGGGCGTCAAGGAGGTTGGCCTCCACGTCATGAAAGGGGCGTGGACAGCGCCTTCACCTATCTCTCCCTCCGCCTCAGAAGAAGGGGCGGGGCCACACAGGGGGCGGAGCTTTTACGTCACGAGGGGGCGGGGACATCCTGGACTTCCATCTCTCTCTTCTCAGCTCCAAAGGGGCGGGGCGTGAAGGAGGCGGGGCGTCTACGTCACGAAGAGGGCGCGGCCATCGCCTTAACCCCAGCTGCGCCTGGCCTATCTCTCCCTCCTCCTTTCTCAGCTCCTAAGGGGCGGGGCGTGAAGGGGGCGGGGCCTCTACATCATGAAGGGGGCGGGGACATCGCCTTAACCTATCCATCCCTGCGCAGCTCCTAAGAGGAAGGGGCGGGGCGTGAAGGAGGCGGGGCGTTACGTCATGAAGGGGGCGGGGACATCGCCTTAACCTATCTCTCTCTCATTCTCCTCTCTGCGCAGCTCCAGAAACAGGAAAGAGGCGGGGCCGTGAAGGAGGCGGGGCAACGTAGAGGGCGGGGCTTTGCGTCACGAGGGGGCGGGGCCAGAGCCTTTACCTCTTCTGCGCCTGGCTTTCCATCTATCCCTCCTTCTCAGCTCCTAAGGGGAGGGGCCTCTACGTCATGAAGGGGGCGGGACCAAAGCCTTAACCTATCTCTCTCTCTATCTCCTCTCTGCGCAGCTCCTGAGAGTAAAGGGCGGGGCGTGAAGGAGGCGGGGACTTCTACGTCATGAAGGGGGCGGGGCCATCGCCTTAAGCCATCTCTCCCTCCTCCCTGCGCAACTTTCTTCCCTCAGTGTTTTGGACTCCAACTCCCAACATGCCTCACGGCCTCCGGCCTTTTCCTTTTCCCCCTCAGCCGCTTAAGCGGGGCGGGGCGTGAAGGAGGCGGGGGCTGCTACGTCACGAAGGGGGCAGGACCAAAGCCTTTAAACCTCCGCCAGGCTCTACCGAGGCACCCCGACTAGGGGGCGGGGCGTGAAGGGGGCGGGGACTCGCGTCATGGAGGGGGCGGGGACATCACCTCAACCTATCTCTCTCTCTTCTCTCTGCGCAGCTCCTGAGAGGAAGGGGCGGGGAATGAAGGAGGCGGGGCTTGTACGTCACGAAAGGGGCGGGGACAGCGCTTCACCGCCTGCGCCAGACATTCCTCCAGAAACAGGGGGCGGGGCGGTGAAGGAGGCGGGGCAACGGAGAGGGCGGGGCCTCTACCTCACGAGGGGGCGGGGCCAGAGCCTTTACCCCTGCTGCGCCTGGCCTTCCATCTCTCCCTCCTCCTTCTCAGCTCCTAAGGGGCGGGGCTTGAAGGAGGCGGTGACCTCCACGTCACGAAAGGGGCGGGGACAGCGCTTCACCGCCTGCGCCAGACATTCCTCTAAGCAGGGAGCGTCGAAGGGGGCGGGGCGGTGAAGGAGGCGGGGCAACGGAGAGGGCGGGGCCGGAGCCTTTACTCCTCCCGGCGCGACTCTTGAGACTAAGGGGCGGGGCGTGAAGGAGGCGGGGTCTTCGCGACGCAAGGGGGCGTGGCCAGAGCCTTCACCCCTGCGGCAGGGTCTTCCCGAGGCATAGCGACGAAGGGGGTGGGGCCAAGAAAGGGGCGGAGCCTGCTGCGCCTGGCCAACCCTCCCTCCTTCCCGGCGCGGATCCTGACACTAAGGGGCGGGGCATACGTCACGAGGAGGCGGGGCCATCGCCTGAACCCCTCCTCCAAGAGACTAAGGGGCGGGGCGGTGAAGGAGGCGGGGCCTCTACGTCACGAAAGGGGCGGGGACGGCACTTTAACGCCTGCGCCAGATAGGCCAGCAGAAGCAGGAGGCGGTTTAGAGGGCGGGGCTTCACGTCACGAGGGGCGGGGCCTCCCTTCTTCCGCCCAGGCCTAGTGCAGCGCCTCAGGCTAAGGGGCGGGGCGATGGAGAGGGGCGGGGACCCGACGTCAGGAAGGGCGGGGCCATCGCCTTATCCCAGCTCAGCTTCGGAGACGAAGGGGCAGGGCGGGCTATGAAGGGGGCGGGGCCTGACGTCATGCAGGGGGCGGAGACAGCGCATTAATGCCTGCGAAGCAGAAGCAGGGAGAGACAATAAGGGGGCGGGGACTCTACGTCACGAGGGGGCGGGGCCAAGGCCTTCCATCACTCCGTCCTCCCGAAGCAGCTCCTGAGACTGAGGGGCGGGGCGAAGAAGGGGGCGGGGCCTTACGTCACGAGGGGGCGGAGACCGCGCTTTAAGGCCTGAGACAGAGGGGGCGGAGTTGTAGTTGCTGGGATTTATAGTTCACCTCCAATCAAAGCGCATTCTGAACCCGGCCAACGATAGAATTGAACCAAACTTGGCACACAGAACTCCCATGACAAACAGAGAATACTGGAAGGGTTTGGTGGGCAGTGACCTTTGGTTTTGGAGTTGTAGTTCACCTACATCCAGAGATCACTGTGGACTCAAACAATGATGGATCTGGACCAAACTCTACACGAAGACTCAACATGTCCAAATGTGAACATTGGTGGAGTTTGGGGGAAATAGAATCCTGGCATTTGGGAGTTGTAGTTGCTGGGAGTCATAGTTCACCTACAATCACAGAGCATTCAGAACCCCACCAAGGATGAAATTGAACCAAACTTGGCACACAGTTCTCCCATGACCAGCGGAAAATACTGGAAGGGTTTGGTGGGCATTGACCTTGAGTTTGGGAGTTGTAGTTCACCTACATCCAGAGACACTGTGGACTCAAACAATGATGGATCTGGACCAAACTCAATACGAATACTCAATCTGCCCAAATGTGAACACTGGTGGAGTTTGGGGGAAATAGAATCTTGACATTTGGGAGTTGTAGTTGCTGGGATTTATAGTTCACCTACAGTCAAAGAGCATTCTGAACCCCACCAAGGATAGAATTGGGCCAAACCTCCCACACAGAACCCCCATGTGGGCCACAGCAACGTGTGGCAGGGGACAGCTAGTGTGTATGTGTGTGTGTGTGTATATATATATATAAAACCCCTCTTGCTTCATTTCCAATAGACCTCACAACCTCCGCCTGCCATAGATGTGGGTGAAACGTCAGGAGAGAATGCTGTTGGGACATGGCCAGGCAGCCCAGAACACACACAGCAACCCACCAGCTTTTGTTTTGTTTCTCAGGGATTTTTTTGTTTTGTTTTTGTTTTCTGTGGAGGCTTCTCTTAATTTTTTCACTGGCTCATGTTTATCACTGATGACCTCAACTGGAATTTATTTATGTATTTATTTATTTATTTGGGGTGCTTCTACCCCTCCCTTCTCAACCCCCTCGGGGGTACTCAGGGCGGCTTACAAAAGGCACAATTCGATGCCTAGCAATTCACAAAATACAGTACAATATACTAGGCCTGGGCGGTTTCGTTCGTTAATTTTGTAATTCGTTAAATATTCGTTAATTTTAGCAATTACAAAACGATTACAAAACTTATTTTTAAACCCGGAAGTGTTTTTAAATATCGAAACGGCATGCGCCAAATATTTTTGTATTTCCGTCCATTTCGGAAATACGTAAGATGGCTAGATGCTTGCTGGGAGCTCTCCTCTCTCTCCTCTCCTTAGCCAGTCAGAGCCTGAAAGAGGAGGAGGAGGAGGAGGAGGAGAGGGCGGGGAAGGCGCCGGCTGAGCAAGCGAGCGAGAGGGCGAGCGACCCTCAGCGGGAAGGCGGCCCGTCCCTCCTTCCTCACCTTTGCGGTGGGTGTGCTTCGTTCTCCCAATTCCACACTGAAACCTTAGCGGAGGGCTGGGCTAGATGGCCTTTGAGGAGCCCTTCTCCCAATTTCGCATTGAGACCATAGCAGAGGGCGGGACTAGATGGCCTTTGGGGAGCCCCTTCTCCCAATTCCACATTGAAACTTTAGCAGAGGGCTGGAATGTATGGCCTTTGGGGAGCCCCTTCTCCCAATTCCGCATTGAAACCTTAGGAGGGGGCTGGACTAGATGGCCTTTGGGGAGCCCCTTCCTCCAATTCCGCATTGAAATAGCAGAGGGCGGGACTAGATGGCCTTTGGGGAGCCCTTCTCCCAATTTCGCATTGAGACCATAGCAGAGGGCGGGACTAGATGGCCTTTGGGGAGCCCCTTCCTCCAATTCCGCATTCAAACCTTAGCAGAGGGCTGGACTAGATGGCCTTTGGGGACCCCCTTCTCCCAATTCCGCACTGAAACCTTAGCTTCGGAGGAGCCGGGCCCGACTCGGCGGCAGCGCTTGAGGGCCCGCCAGAGTGAGTGCCTGCCTTCCCTCCTTAATAATAATTTCTCCTCCCTATTCTACTAAATTAATAATTAAATTTAAAAAATATTGAAAAAAAAGGGCGCCATCTTTACAAAATGTTTTGTAAATATTAACGAAATTTCGTAAATACCGAACTTTTTTAAGGGAAAATTTTGTAATTATTTTAAATATCGAAACAAAAAAACACCCCAAATACAAATCGATTTTAGAAACAAATTTTTGCGTTGTTACCCAGGCCTACAATATACAATAAACAATACACTAAAGAATGACAGCCAGGTCAGCTTGCACTGAGCTCAGCAAAATACACTATTGAATGGAAGAGTCTCTACCGTCATTGCAATTGGTTTTAAATGTTTTTAATGCTCAATATTTATTTATATCTCATTTCTGGATGTTGTGATGCTTTGCGTGACTTTTGCCTTGTATTTTATGTTAAGCTTATTCATTTATTTGTTTACTGCATTGATATGCCGCTTTTCTCCCCTTGGCCTGACAGAACTCAGACTGGTTTCCAACATGATAAAGGCAAAAATTCAATGCCATGCATACATGTGAAAACCAAAACATAATCGCTAGACAATAACATATAACCATAAATTAAAACCTGGACACAGCAGATTATTTGAGAACATGGAGATGCTGGACCACTTTCACAACCACCATGCCAGGCTACACAGAGAAGCCATTGAAATCCACAAGAAGCACGTGGACAATGTCAACAGAAAGGAGGAAACCATGAAAATGAACAAAAGCTGGCTACCAGTATTAAAAAACTCAAAAATTACAACAGCACAACAACAGAGAGGAAACAATCTGGGACACCTAATCACCTCTCAACAAAAGATTCCCCCAGGCACTGCCAAGCCATCAAATGATAATTAAGGTGGTCAGTTGAAATATTCACACCTAGCCCAACTGACAAGAGTCCTTTGTCCCACCCCGGTCATTCCACAGATATATAAACCCCTTTTTCCTACTTCCAACAGACCTCACAACCTCTGAGGATGCTTGCCATAGATGCAGGCGAAACGTCAGGAGAGAATGCCTCTAGACCATGGCCATATAGCCCAAAAAAACCTACAACAACCCAGAGATTCCCACCTAGCTCCAGCAGACAAGTGTCCTTTGTCCCACCCCAGTCATTCCACAGATATATATAAACCCCTTTTTCCTAGTTCCAACAGACCTCACAACCTCTGAGGATGCTTGCCATAGATGCAGGCGAAACGTCAGGAGAGAATGCCTCTAGAACATGGCCATATAGCCCGAAAAAACCCACAAGAACCTAGTGATTCCAGCCATGAAAGCCTTCGACAATACATAAATTAAAAACATAACCAAATTAAAACATTAAACATAAAGTAACATTTAGACATAAAGCATAAAAATTAAACATTGGTAATACACTAACATTTATATTTAGACCTACTGATAAACAACATGATTTCAACACATCCCACAATCCAAAATCAAGTCCGTAGTCGTTCCATTGGTCCATTCACTATTCCTTATTCTCCTATTGCACTACGAGCTTTGCTGTCCGAAAGCTTGGTCACAAAATGGAGTCCTGAGATGGTTTTTAAGCAACTTTTAATGTGAATATAAGTGATTTTAATGTTTGTATATAGTTATGGTTTTATGTCCCGGCATGCTGGTTGCATGAGACATGCCGCATCATCACGGGGTGCCTGTGCCCTACACCACTGGAGAAATTACACTGTTTGGTCGGCATTGCACCACCTGACACCCGCCGGGAAGTAGCAGCCAATAGTGAAAGGACCAAGGCAGAGACATCTCCAGCTCATCCCCTGTTTGGGTATCAGCCAGCACGCCAACGACTTAAATCAAGAAATAGTTTCCTAAGATGTACAGAGACACTCGCTGGAACACCTGAGCAAGCAGGAGTCCAAAACTGGCAGGGGGTACCAGCCAATAGTGAAAGGACCAAGGCAGAGACATCTCCAGCTCATCCCTTGTTTGGGTATCAGCCAGCACGTCAACCACTTAAACCTAGGAATAGTTTTCTAAGATCTACAGAGACACTCGCTGGAACACCCCAGCAAGCAAGAGTCCAAAAGTGGCAGGCTCAAACCCAGAACTGATACCAGATGAGAGACTCCCCCCTGGGCACACAGAAGACGGGGCGACTTGGAAGGCGCTGAACAGACTGCGCTCTGGCACCACGAGATGCAGAGCCAACCTCAAGAAATGGGGCCACAAAGTGGAATCCACGACATGCGAGTGTGGAGAAGAGCAAACCACTGACCACCTGCTGCAATGCAACCTGAGCCCTCGCCACATGATGCACAAGGGAGGACCTCCTTGCGGCAACACCAGAGGCACTCCAAGGGGACAGAGACTGGTCAAAGGACATTTAATCAACTACCAAACTCACAAGTTTTGTATTTTGTCTGTTTGTTTGCTTTGTTCTGTTAGAAATGTAATATAATTGACTGGTTGCCCTGACACGACAAATAAAATGGCCTATGATGCTGTATGTTGCAACTCATCTATTCCGCCCTTCTCACCCCGCAGGAGACTCAGGGCGGATTACAGTGTACACATATATGGCAAACATTCAATGCCAATTTTTGACATACAACATATACAGACATACACAGAGGCTATTTAACTTTTTCTGGCCACCAGGGGAGCTGTCGCTTTCATCGTCCATCTGTGACACTGATGAAGCACTTCCGCATTCCCCGCATGCTTCCCCGCTAAAATGCTTTTGCTGGAGTCTTCTTTATGGCCTCATAAATCAGTTAATTTAGCCTCCCCACACTTTAAGGTGGTACCTAATTGTCCTACTTGACAGACGCAACTGTCTCTCGGGTTGCAAAGATCGACAACAAGCTACACAAAATTGGCCGGAATCTCACTCCGACCCGGGCTGACTTCGAATTCATGACCTTCTGGTCAGAGTGATCTTAATGCAGCTGACACTCAGCCAGCTGCGCCACAATCCCGGTGCCGTATAGATGTTGTGCTCCGCCCTGAGTCCCCTGCGGGGTGAGGAGAAGGGCGGAATAGAAATGTTTTAAATACATAAAATAATAATAACCACATTTTTACTTTCTTCCTGAAGGTCAGGAGGGAGGGGCTGCTCTAATCTCAATGGGGATGGGGTTCCACAGCAGAGGGAGGAGCCACCACTGAGAAGGAAGGCCTTGTCCCCCACGAGTTGTGCTTGCGAGGAGGTGGAACCGAGAGCGGGGCCTCCCCAGACAATCTCAACCTCCGAGATGGTTCATAGAGGGAGATACGTTCAGCCAGGTAAGGTGGGCTGGAACCTTTTAGGGAAAGCTTTCCTGTCTGATGGCAGAAGGAACTTGGACTGGATGGCCCTGAAGGTCCTTTCCAACTGTAGAATTCTATATTATTATTAGTATTATTATTATTAGTATTATTAAGCAGAGACTGGATGGCCATCTGTTGGGGCTGCTTTGTTTGTGCCCTTCCTGCCTAACAGCAGAAGGGGCTTGGACTCAATGGCCTTTGGGGGCGGGGGGGGGGGACTCTTCCAATACTACTATTCATTCCATAAGCTGCTTGGATGTTGTGGCTCGGCAAGCAGCACAGGGTTTTCCTGATGTTTCAGAGGATGAAGGAATTGATGGTTTTCAAAGTGAAGCATCTGCTAGTGCTCAGAGAGAATGGCAGGCCAAGGAAACCGTTGTTTGGGATTCCTGTGCTCGTTCCCAGGCAACAGAAGGTGAGGATTTCAGTTCCCTTGTGAATCGGCCTTTGGCCAATGGGGAATTTTCCCGAGAAGCCAGATTAGGTTTGAGAATGGAGGGAGTGAAAGATTGACTAATTCAGTATTCTGAGAGACTCCACGAGAAGTCCTTGAAGCCCAGGTGTGTTCGGCATGACCTCATGGGTTCTTGGGTTACATTGAGTGGTGTTTATTTGGTGCCTCTCAGAGGAGACAACGTTGCCATAAGGATGGCTTTCCTGTCTCGCCTTCCAAGTTGATGATTCAAGTCTCCTGTTTTGATGTTTCTTGAAGGATTTGCCTTGGAAAAAAAATCCTGCTTTCATGCTTATCAATATATGCTTGAGATTTTGGCTCTATTGACTTCACGTACTTTGACATTTTTGGATTGCTGCCATTTTGTATTTCCATTTTGTATTTTTGGGAAACGCCCTTTTCCCCCTTTGTACATACACGCTTTTCTTAATAAACTTTTGTAGACAGTCCTACTGGATTCAGGTGTGATGTTAGGTGAAAAGGTGTCTTAAGGCTAGAGTGCAACGCTGGATTGTCGAAATGGGGTGAAAAGGAGGAGAAATCTGCTCCCTCACTGTCCGGCCCAAATGTCAGTTGGCCCTGGCTGGGCAGCGAGGAGCCCAAGCCTGCGGTCAACCTGGCCAGGGGTCACAGGGCCCAAGCGGGAGCAGGAGTGTCCATCACCAGGCCAAGTTTGGCAGAGATCTCCTTGCAACTGTCCAGCTGAATGTGGCCCCGCCCCCTCCTCTGGCTGGACATGGGGCGCCTTGCTGTTGGGGGTCAAGATGGACATGTTCCAGATGCCCCTCCGCCTAAGAGGAAGAGGAGTAGGAGTCCAGGTAGGAAAGAGCCAGGTGGTAGCAGAGCCGGTACTGCTCCTACAAGAAGAGGGGCAGAGAAATACAAATAACATCATAATAAACATCATAATAACAACAACAACAAATGGGGGGAGAGCAGGAAGGAGACAACAAAGGGGAATCATAGAGAACTAGAATGAAGATGGATAAGAGTTGCCTGAGAGAATGTCAAAGGCAGCAGAGGGATGCGGATACAAGGAGGGAGCTTGGGCGCACATGTTTTAGAAAGTTCTGCTACGAAAAGGCCGAGTTGCATCTCAGCCTCGTGGCGCTATTTTTCCTGTTGTACACCCAATAGCTTCGCTTTGGCCAAAACAAATCTATTACCTATCTACGTCTCACCCCTGAATTTGAGATCATCTGGGGAGGCCCTGCTCTCGACCACACCACTATCACAAGTGAGGCTGGTGGGGACGAGGAGCAGGGCCTTCTCAGTGGTGGCCCCCCACCTGTAGAACTCACTCCCGGGGGAAATCAGGGCATCTACATCCCTCCTTGCCTTCAGGAGGAAGGTAAAGACGTGGCTATGAGACCAGGCCTTTGGACATCCTGACAGATATAGAAACCAGATGGATAGGACCGATCATGTGTGGTAGTAGAACCTAAACTATGAGTCTGTTAAACGCTGACCAGCAATGAGGTTTGTATTGCTTTTATTGTTTTATTGCTTTTACATGTTTTATGGTTGTTTTGATAATAATTTATTGCTGATGTTAATTGTTACCACTGCTATAATTGCTGTCGTTAACTAATATTGTGTTTTTTGTTGTCATGTAATGCTGGCATTGAACTGTGCCTTGCTTGTGTAAGCCGTCCTGAGTCTCCCCAGTACGTCCTAACAGGATCAAGCATGTGTGTGTGTGTTAAAGAAAACCTCATACTGTTGATTATTATGTGCAGCTGCTAATGTAGGTCAACTAGTAATGTTCATGTTTTTATTGATTTTGTTATGGTTTTATTATCCGATTGTTTTTATTGTATTGAAATTGTATTGTATGGTCTTGCCTGAGAGGGGTGGTATATAAATATAGTAAATAAATAAATGAATAAATGAATAAATAAATAAATAGTAAGTTTGTACGACACCCGGTGGGGTGTAACTGTATGGATTTTAGAATACAGTTCAGCTTTTGCTCTGAGGAGCCTTTGCTCAAGCATTTTGCTCAACCATGTCTACAGCTCTCTCATTTGAAGTTGAAGCCTTGTTCCGTAGTATTGCTTACAAGGACCGTGTAAGTTTGTTGCACTGTTTGTTTTGTTCAAGAATTGGGCTCCACAGTCACCTACGGTCCCACCGACAGGACACTGACCTTGGAGGACCATCATCCTCAGACTACGAGGGATCGCCTAAGTAAAGTATGTGCAGCTGCTAATTTAGGTCAACTAGTAAGTTTGTACCACACCCGGTGGGGTATAACTGTATGGATTTTAGAATACAGTTCAGCTTTTGCTCTGAGGAGCCTTTGCTCAAGCATTTTGCTCAACCATGTCTACAGCTCTCTCATTTGAAGTTGAAGCCTTGTTCCGTAGTATTGCTTACAAGGACCGTGTAAGTTTGTTGCACTGTTTGTTTTGTTCAAGAATTGGGCTCCACAGTCACCTACGGTCCCACCGACAGGACACTGACCTTGGAGGACCATCATCCTCAGACTACGAGGGATCGCTTAAGTAAAGTATGTGCAGCTGCTAATTTAGGTCAACTAGTAAGTTTGTACCACACCCGGTGGGATATAACTGTATGGATTTTAGAATACAGTTCAGCTTTTGCTCTGAGGAGGCTTTGCTCAAGCATTTTGCTCAACCATGTCTACAGCTCTCTCATTTGAAGTTGAAGCCTTGTTCCGTAGTATTGCTTACAAGGACCGTGTAAGTTTGTTGCACTGTTTGTTTTGTTCAAGAATTGGGCTCCACAGTCACCTACGGTCCCACCGACAGGACACTGACCTTGGAGGACCATCATCCTCAGACTACGAGGGATCGCCTAAGTAAAGTATGTGCAGCTGCTAATTTAGGTCAACTAGTAAGTTTGTACCACACCCGGTGGGGTATAACTGTATGGATTTTAGAATACAGTTCAGCTTTTGCTCTGAGGAGCCTTTGCTCAGGCATTTTGCTCAACCATTTCTACTGCTCTTGCATTTGGATGAAGATGAAGAAGCCTTCTTCTGAATTGCTTACAAGGACTTTGTAGGTTTCTTGCACTGTTTGTAACATTGCAAGATTATGTTTTAACTCTGCTGATAAGAATAAAGTTTTTCTGTTCCTTTTCCTCTTGCCTGGGTGCAACGTTATTGTGTCTTCTGCATTGGACTTGACTGAAATATGCTTAGCGCAACAAACCAAGCCTCAACATTTTGGCACCCAAACAGGGACTTGAACCCTGGACCCTCAGAGTCTCAACACTCTTCCTCCTGCATCCTTTTGCCCCCAAATGAGCTGATTGCAATGATGGGCTTGGCAGTCTTTGGTGCCCAAGAGAGGCACGAGGTGACCCAGAACTGGAGGGCATCCTCTTAGGGGGAGATCCTGTGGAAATCTGCACCTGAGCCATTTATTGTGCCTTCTGCCCTGAAGGCAAGGAAGGGTCCCCGTTGGGTCACTCACCACGTCCTGGATGAAGCGAGGCTGGCGCCGCTTGACCATGCGCGCGGCCCGGGAGACGTCCAGCAGCCCCTCCGCCCGGATCTGTTCGCACACGAAGCTCAGGGCGCAGAAGAGCCCGCAGCGGGAAACGCCGTCCCTGGATCGGGGCAGGACAAGGGAGGTGAGGGCAAGAGACCCACATGCCCAGCCTCAGAAGGGGTGGACTGGACACCCTCCAAGAGAAACCCTGCTCGCTTTTGGGGTGGGCCAAAGAGCTGGCTGGGACACTTGAACCAGGCTTCTTGAGCTGGGGGTTCCGACCACAAAGGGGGTCCTTTTGCTTAAGGTCGGGGTCACAAAGAAAGGGGGTCACAACCTAGTGGCTGTTTTAGGCATTTCCACGAATGTGTTGTGCAGCATTTACAATTGTTTTGTTGTTCATTCGTTCAGTCATTTCCGACTCTTCGTGGCCTCATGGGCCAGCCCACACCAGAGCTCCCTGTCGGCCGTCACCACCCCCAGCGCTTTCAAGGTCAATCCAGTCACTTCAAGGATGCCATCCACCTGCCTTGCCCCTGGTCGGCCCCTCTTCCTTTTTCCGACTCTTCCTGACCTCATGGACCAGCCCACGCCAGAGCTCCCTGTCGGCCGTCACCACCCCCAGCTCCTTCAAGGTCAAGCCAGTCACTTCAAGCATTTACAGTGTTTACAATGGACTCCTACAAAGATGCCTCGGTGGTACTTGATCAAAGGGAAAATGAACCCGTGTAGTAGGTCTTGCCAATGCTGATTTGTTGTCAATCAAAGTTTCATTTTTATACCTATTTTATATATTTATATACCTGGGGTCACGTACACATTTATGGTCGCAAGGGGGAAAAGCTTAAGGAGATTATTATTATTATTATTATTATTATTATTATTATTATTATTCTTTATTTATATCCTGCTTTTCTTTCTCATCAGACCCAATGCATGATGCATTTCCAAGCCCATGCTGCAGTGCAGCCACATAAGCATGAATGCCTGCAAGAGGAGAGGTGCTTCTAGACTGCAACTCCCATCATTCTGCGGCTCAGGCTCTTGGGAAACAGAGCCATGCATTGTCTGGGAGGCCAAGTCATAGAATCACAGAATCATAGAGTTGGAATGGACCACATGGACCATCTAGTCCAGGCCTGGGTCAACTTGGGCTCTCCCTCCAGGTGTTTTGGACTCCAACTCCCATCATTCCTAACAGCTTCTAGCCCAGGGGTAGGGAACCTTTGGCCCTCCAGCTGTGGTGGACTTCAACTCCCACAATTCCTTGAGGCTCGGCATTGGGCCAAGGTAAGCCTTTGGGGCGAATGCCGAGCCTCAAGGAATTGTGGGAGTTGAAGTCCACCACAGCTGGAGGGCCAAAGGTTCCCTACCCCTGTTCTAGCCCCTTCCTTTTCTCTTTCCTTTTCTGCTTAAGTGGCTGAGGAGGAAAAGGAAAGGGCCTGAGGCTGTAAGGAATGATGGGAGTTGGAGTCCAAAACACCTGGACGGAGGGCCCAAGTTTGCCTGTTCCTATTCTATAGTGCTGAGAGGCACCCAAAGCCGGATCTGATTTCCGCCAGCGGTTTGTTCATAATAACTAGGAGCAACAATTAACTATTTCTTAAGTTGTGTCCAAAAGGTGCGCGGCCAAGAGTCTCCGGCCAGGACTTCCCATGGCTCTGGAGAATCTCCTAATTTGGCTGACTCTCTGATGCCAGACTCGTGGCCCTTTGAGCTGGACAGCGCTTGGGGAACTGACCCAAAGTATTGCAGAAATCAAGGAAAGGAGTGGAGGGGGGGGAGGGAGGGAAGCCCCTTGCGACACCCTCAAGATGAACTCATCTAGCCGTTTGAGCTGGAGAGATGTTGCATTACATTGGCTGCAATACAACTGTTGGGTTTGCTCCTGACACGATAAATAAGTAAATAAGCTGGAGAGATGCCTCGGAGGGAAGGTGGAAAGGGGGTGTGAGAGCCGTGGTTGAGAAGAGGTCCCACCGAGGAGCGGAAAGGCTGGCTTTGTGCTGCCCTGGAGACTGGGCACAATGGAGCAGGAGAAGGGAATCTGCCTGAACTTCAGGAAGAACTTCCTGAGGGTCAGGGCTCTTGGGCTGTGGAATCTGCCGCTGCCTGGGGAGTTTGCGGGAATGTCCTTTGGATGTTTCTACACAGAGGCTGGATGGACATCTGTTGAGTGGGCTTAGACTCATAGAGTTGGAAGACACCTGGTGGGCCATCATCTAGTCCAACCCCCTTCTGCCAAGAAGCAGGAATATTGCATTCAAAGCACCCCCGACAGATGGCCATTGAGCCTCTGTTTCAAAGCCTCCAAAGGAGGAGCCTCTACCACACTCTGGGGCAGAGAGTTCCTCTGCTGAACATAGAATCCTAGAGTTGGAAGAGACCTGGTGGGCCATCATCCAGTCCAACCCCCTTCTGCCAAGAAGCAGGAATATTGCATTCAAAGCACCCCCGACAGATGGCCATCCTCTGTTTAAAAGCTTCCAAAGAAGGAGCCTCCACCACACTCTGGGGCAGAGAGTTCCACTGCTGAACATAGAATCCTAGAGTTGGAAGAGACCTGGTGGGCCATCATCCAGTCCAACCCCCTTCTGCCAAGAAGCAGGAATATTGCATTCAAAGCACCCCCGACAGATGGCCATTGAGCCTCTGTTTCAAAGCCTCCAAAGGAGGAGCCTCTACCACACTCTGGGGCAGAGAGTTCCTCTGCTGAACATAGAATCCTAGAGTTGGAAGAGACCTGGTGGGCCATCATCCAGTCCAACCCCCTTCTGCTAAGAAGCAGGAATATTGCATTCAAAGCACCCCCGACAGATGGCCATTGAGCCTCTGTTTCAAAGCCTCCAAAGGAGGAGCCTCTACCACATTCTGGGGCAGAGAGTTCCTCTGCTGAACATAGAATCCTAGAGTTGGAAGAGCCCTCGTGGGCCATCATCCAGTCCAACCCCCTTCTGCCAAGAAGCAGGAATATTGCATTCAAATCACCCCTGACAGATGGCCATCCAGCCTCTGTTTAAAAGCTTCCAAAGAAGGAGCCTCCACCACACTCCGGGGCAGAGAGTTCCACTGCTGAACGGCTCTCACAGTCAGGAAGTTCTTCCTCATGTTCAGGTGGAATCTCCTCTCTTGTAGTTTGAAGCCATTGTTCCCTTGCGTCCTAGTCTCTCTCCAGGGAAGCAGAAAACAAGCTTGCTCCCTCCTCCTCCCTGTGGCTTCCTCTCACATATTTATACATGGCCCTCATCATGTCTCCTCTCAGCCTTCTCTTCTTCAGGCTAAACATGCCCAGCTCCTTAAGCCGCTCCTCATAGGGCTTGTTCTCCAGACCCTTGATCTGCTCCCTCCTCCTCCCTGTGGCTTCCTCTCACATATTTATACATGGCCCTCATCATATCTCCTCTCATCCTTCCAACTCTTCTTCAGGCTAAACATGCCCAGCTCTTTAAGCCGCTCCTCATAGGGCTTGTTCTCCAGACCCTTGATCATTTTAGTCGCCCTCCTCTGGACACATTCCAGCTTAGAGCCCAGAATTGGATGCCCAGAATTGGACAAAGTAGTCCAGATGTGGTCTAACCAAGGCAGAATGGAGCATGGGGAGCATGACTTCCCTGGATCTAGGCACTAGACTCCTCTTGATGCGGGCCAAAATCCCATTGGCTTTTTTTGCCGCCGCATCATATTCACCTTCCTGTCCACGAGGACCACAAGATCTTTTCCCCACATCCTTCTCTCGAGCCATGCGCCCCCCATTCTGTACCTCTGCATTTCCTTTTTTCTGCCTAAGTGGAGCCCCTTGCATTTGTCCCCATTGGCTTGGATGGCAGAAGGTGGGGGGTTGGGCTGGGGGGTCCTGGGGGGGGGTCCCTTTCAACTCTGATCCTTTCCAGAGGAAGTAAGGGCTGGATGCAGTCCAGCTGCACACAAGCCCAGCACCTCTCCACACATATGCGCGCACTCACCGGCAAGTGACCAGGATGTGATCATCCGAAGAAGAGGGCCATCCTTCTCCTTCCACTTCGCTGAGGAGCCTCAGGAGAGTCGGCAGGTGCTGTGGGTGCCTCTGGGCGCTGGGCCAGTCCTGCAGGTGCCACAACCGGACCTCTAAGGGAGGGGCCCCAGGCTAAGGCAAGACCACAAGACAGGAACCACAGTTGGGTTGGGTTGGGTTCTGTGGGGGGCATCGGGGCTGAGATTTCAGGAAGGGGTGGATTGATTCATCAAGATCCAGGTGCCAAGTCACCCAGTGATCTTGTTGAATCATCGATTGTGGAATCAACATCATTCAGCATTGCACAACTGAACGCACCTGTGCACCTGCACCCACAGGTACGCATGTCTGTGTGCACAAAGGCACCGCATGCACATTATTCAGCATTACACAACTAATTACACCTGTGCATCCTCTCCTGCAGGTACATATGTGTCTCTATGCACAAAGACACCAGATGCACATCATTCGGCATTGCACAATTGTATGCACCTGTGCACCTGCACCCACAGGTACACATGTCTGTGTGCACAAAGGCACCACATGCACATTATTCAGCATTACACAAGTAAATGTACCTGTGCATCTTCACCTGCAGGTACATATGAAACTGTATGCACAAAGGCACTGCATGCACATCATTCGGCATTGCACAATAGTATGTACCTGTGCATTTCATCCCCTGGGACACATGTGTCTGTATGCACAAAGGCAGTGTGCACATCATTTGGCATTGCAGAACTGAATGCACCTGTGCATCTTCACCTGCAGGTACATATGTCTCTAAGCACAAAGGCGCCACATGCACATCATTCGGCATTACACAATTGTATGCACCTGTGCACCTGCACCCACAGGTACGCATGTCTGTGTGCACAAAGGCACTGAATGTACATTATTCAGCATTACACAACTAAATGCACCTGTGCATCTTCACCTGCAGGTACATATGAAACTGTATGCACAAAGGCACTGCATGCACATCATTCGGCATTGCACAATAGTATGTACCTGTGCATTTCATCCCCTGGGACACATGTGTCTGTATGCTCAATGGCAGTGTGTACATCATTTGGCATTGCAGAACTGAATGCACCTGTGCATCTTTACCTGCAGGTACATATGTCTCTATGCACAAAGGCGCTACATGCACATCATTCGGCATTACACAATTGTATGCACCTGTGCACCTGCAACCACAGGTACGCATGTCTGTGTGCACAAAGGTACTGAATGTACATTATTCAGCATTACACAACTAAATGCACCTGTGCATCTTCACCTGCAGGTAGATATGAAACTGTATGCACAAAGGCACTGCATGCACATCATTCGGCATTGCACAATTGTATGCACCTGTGCATCTACATCCCCTGGTACAAATGTGTCTGTATGCACAAAGGCACTGCATGCACATCATTCAGTATTGCACAACTGAATGCACCTGTGTATCTTCACCTGCAGGTACATATGTGTCTATGCACAAAGGCGCCACACGCACATCATTCGGCATTGCACAACTGAATGCACCTGTAGATCTGCACCTGCAGGTGCACATGTGTCCCTGTAAATCCTCCCTTAAAATGAATACAGCTATTTATATTTTAGAGTTGCATGGAATTAGAGTAGCGATGCATTGGAATCCCTCCCGCGTACGCATTCCTTCCCACTTTGGCATTTGAGGAGGGTCCATTCCCCAGAACGCTCTTCTTCTCTGTGGCCTCACCTGCTGACCGCTGGAAAGGGAGAGCTCCCGCACGGTGTACCCGGTCCGTGGCTCCTCAGAGGAAAGTGCAACGGTAATGGCGCCATAAGTGGACTTGCCGGACACAGGCCAGAATGTGGGACACGTCTGGATGAGAGGGAAAGGGGCCGGTCAGCACTGGGGGCCTTGGCCTGGGACTCCCCTCCCCAGTCAAGGAGGAGAAGGACTGACCATTTGGTTTCAAGTGGAGACTAAATAGCCGCCTCTCGGAGAAGCTTTTGTTGTGTGGGTTCCCTACACGGGAATCAGGGGTGGGGTGGGTGGCCAATCAGTCTAGCGTGGCGGTCCATGATTGCACCCATGTCTTAGGTTTATTCTGCAGATCAAACTATTGTATTTCGAATCTCCTCGTCTCTAATAGTGTCTAATGGGAAATAGATACTAGAGATGTTTGGGACACCCAGCCTCAATGGTTTCCTTCGTTTCTTGCAGCCAGTTTTGCCCCTGGGGAGGGTCCGGGGGTCTCCAGGTGTAGCAGCCCCCTCTCTCCAAACCTCATGCCCAAGACTGACCTGGTCAAGCTCCGAGGGGGAGTCCAGCAGGACCAGGGCGCTGCAGCGGTAGTCCCAGGCCAAAGCCCAGAAGTCCGCCTGGGTGTCCGGAAGGGGCAGCTGTGTGGCCAGGAAGCGCTCCCCTTGGCCGTAGCCCTGGAAAGGAAGGGGAGAGCGGTCAACCGGACGTGAGGCCTTTAAATGGTTAGTGCCTGGAAGTGCCTGATATTCCATGCCACTTAAAGAACATTTTTAAGGTTCAAGAGGTATTCGTTGTGTGGTTTCCGGGCTGTATGGCTGTGTTCTAGCAGCGGATGCAGGCGAAACATCAGGAGAAAATGCTGCTTGAACATGGCCATACAGCCCATAAACCACACAACACCCCAGTGATTCCAGCCAGAAAAGCCTTCACAATACATTAAATAGAGGCTGGGATAGGGGAGCCCATCCCTGGGGTGCCATTGGACTATACTTCCCAGCAGCCCCCACCCAACAGAGTCAATCATCGATGGGGTTTGCAGCCCAACAACAATCACGGCATCGACTTTGGAATCTGATGCAAAGTATTTCTGACTGCGGCTCCAAGGAAAGGAAGGCGAGAGAGAAATGCAATTGGTCAAGACGTGGTGGGCAGGCTCAACCCTACAAAATGGGTAGCTTTCTCCCAGTTCCTGACGGCCACTTCCAGTGGGATGTTTGCAGAGGGTTGGGGGTCAATTCTGGAGACTTACGTCCACAAAGGTGGCGTTGATGTATCCCGGGGTGCCGTCGGCCTTCAGGGAGGACATCAGGAGGGGGCGGCTGCCATCCGCTGCCGGGAAGAGAAGGAAGATTACGGAGGAACACCACAATCCAGACAGTGTGAGGGAGGGGGAGCCCCTGAGTGCTTGACCAGCCCTCGGACAACGTGCTTGACCAGCCCTCAGACAACGTGCTTGGCCCGCCCTCGGACAACGTGCTTGACCAGCCCTCGGACAACGTGCTTGACCAGCCCTCAGACAACGTGCTTGACCAGCCCTCAGACAACGTGCTTGGCCCGCCCTCGGACAACGTGCTTGACCAGAACTCAGACAACATGCTTGACCAGCCCTCAGACAACGTGCTTGACCAGCCCTCGGACAACGTGCTTGACCAGAACTCCGACAACATGCTTGACCAGCCCTCTGACAATATGCATGACCAGCCCTCGGACAACGTGCTTGACCAGCCCTCAGACAACGTGCTTGACCAGCCCTCAGTCAACATGCTTGACCAGCCCTCAGACAACGTGCTTGACCAGCCCTCGGACAACGTGCTTGACCAACCCTCAGACAACATGCTTGACCAGCCTTCGGACAATGTGCTTGACCAGAACTCAGACAACGTGCTTGACCAGCCCTCGGACAACGTGCTTGACCAGCCCTCAGACATGCTTGACCAGAACTCAGACAACGTGCTTGACCAGCCCTCAGACAACGTGCTTGACCAGCCCTCAGACAATGTGCTTGACCAGCCCCCAGACAACATACTTGACCAGCCCTCAGACAACGTGCTTGACCAGCCCTCGGACAACATGCTTGACCAGCCCTCGGATAACGTGCTTGACCAGCGCTTGGACAACATGCTTGACCAGCAGACTCACTCCCCCAGGGGCACGTGCTGTCAGTGGCATCTCCGCACAGCAAGGCAAGGAAACACATCAATCACAGTCTCCTTTAGACTATAAACTAATTTATTGTGTATTTATTTACATTAGAAGCTAAGCACATCGTAAAACTGCTTCTTCTCCATCCGGCAGCTACATCACGAACACAGAACACACTGTTATCAGTACTAGCTCACACCTCCTGCATTCCAGAGTGACGTATGACGTATGACTCCATGCTCTCTGTACTAAGATTTATGACCTCTCTAGGAATGCCAATTCCCTTCATGGTTCAGTTAACTCTTTTTACACAGAAATTACACTCGGCATATAGCATTGCATTTTAAACATATTAACACACTTTGGAATCGACATTACACATTTTCAAAACACATTAACACATGCCACGTAGGATGCCAACAAGAGCAGCGGGCACCTTAGAAAGCGGCTTTGTAAGTCACAGAATCGTAGAGTTGGAAGGGGCTCCCAAAGGCTATCCAGTCCAAACTCTTTTCTGTCAATTAGGAAGGCACAATGCAAGCCCTCCTGGCAGATGACCTTCCAAACCTTGTTGAAAAATCCCACTGGACTCCAAATCCTAGAGTCATAAGAGACTCCCAGCTCCCCCCGCCCCCCAACAGTCCAACTCCTTTCTGCTTTGCTGGAAGACAATCTAAGCCTCCCCATCAGATGGCCATCCAGCCTCTGCTTAAAAGCCTCCATTTAACTTCCAGGCAGTCTATCTATCACTAGAATTGGAAGGGACCCCAAAAGATCACCTAGCCCAGTGTTTCTCCACCTGTGGGCCCCTCCCCAGGTGTGTTGGCCTACCACTCCCAGAAATCCCAAACAGTTTACCAGCTGTTGGGATTTCCTGGAGTTGAAAGCCAAAACACCTGGGGAGAAACACTGATTTAGTCTAAACTCATTCTGCCAGGTAAGAAGATACAATCTAAGCCCTCCCAAGAGATGGTCATGCAGCCTCTGCTTAAAAGTCTCTAGAGATGGAGATTCCGCTACACTCCCAAACAGTGGCAGACCCACTGCTAAACCATTCCAATGGTCAGGAAGTCCTTCCTAATGTTGAGGCGGGACTGGACAGTGGCTGCAGCCCTTGTAAAGGGGGTCAGACCAGGACCCTCCCTCTGCCCCAGCCCCCCATTCACCTGGCAGTATTTCTGGGCTGCGGTTCTTGGCCCGGTTGCAGGGCTTCTGGGCTTCCGTCCGGGGAGCGAGGCTGAACAGCTCCGAGAGGCGCTCCACGGCCTGGAGAAGGGGTCAAGGGAGGAAGAAGGGGCCGGTCAGCCCCCAAACCACTGGGGTGGCCCCTTTGCCCCCCTCTGCTACTGCCTTCCCAACCCTCCAAAGGCAGCAGCAGCAGCAGCAAGAGACCCAGGTGTGCCTTCAGAGTGCTTCAAGTCTCCAGAGTTGCTATGATAATAAGCAGAGCCAACTTCTGCTTGGACACCAGGCATGGGCCAACTTGGGCCCCCCTCCCTCCAGGTGTTTTGGACTTCAATTCCCACCATTCCTCACAGCCTACTGGCTGGTTTGTTGTAGGTTTTTCAGGCTATGTGGCCATGTTCTGGAAGCACTCTCTCCTGACGTTTCGCCCACATCTATGGCAGGCATCCTCAGAGATTGTGAGGTCTGTTGGAAACTAGGAAAATGGTGTTTATATGTCTGTCCAGGGTGGGAGAAAGAACTCTTGTCTGTTGGAGGCAAGTGGGAATGATTCAACTGGCCACCTTGGTTAGCATTTAATAGCCTAGCAGTTTCAAGGTATGGCTTCCTACTGCCTGGGAGAATTCTTAATTGATTAGCTGTCCCTGATTGTTTCTTGTCTGGAGATCCCCTGTGTTTGAGAGTTGTTCTTTATTTACTGTTATAATTTTTTTTTAATACTGATATCCAGATTTTGTTCATTTTCATTGTTTCTTCCTTTTTGTCGACATTGTCCACGTGCTTCTTGTGGAATTCAGTGGCTTCTTTGTGTAGCCTGACATGAAATAGTTGTGAGAGTGGTCCAGCATGTCTGTGTTCTCCAATAATATGCTGTGTCCCAGTTGGTGCTCTGCTATGGCTGGCTTCTCCGTTAAAGTAGACTGCAGTGCCTTTCCTGTTCCTACCATCTGTTAGGAATTATGGGAGTTGAAGTCCAAAACACCTGGAGGGAGGGCCGAAGTTGGTGTTGAAGATGTTTGCAATTTGTAATGTAGATTTCAAAGTATGTATGTGTGTTTAAAATGCAGTAGCTATGTGCCGAGTGTATTCCTGTGTGGAAAGAGTTAACTGAACCACGGAGGGAGCGGCATTCCTAGAGAGGTCATAAATCAAGTGTATAGAGTGTAAGTCATACGTCACTCTGGAATGCAAGAGGTGTGGACTAGTGCTGATAACAGCAGTTCGTGTGTTGGCAATGTTACTATCGGAAGGTGAGAAGCAAGTTTTACGATGTGGTGAGTGTTAAGTAGCTTCTAATGTATATAGCTGTAAAATAAAGTAGTTTATAGCCTAAAGTGGCTGTGATTGATTGTGTTCCTGCCTTGCTGTGCGGCCGGTGTTGCTGACAGTTGGCCCATGCCTGTTGTACACAAACTGAATGTTAAAGGAAAACTACCTAACATAACAAGCAGGTGCCCAGAAGCCCTCCCTCTCATTGCTTCTTCTCCTGCCCTTTGCGTACCTGGAACTCCTGGGTGAACCTGGACATGGGAGCTTCCAGGTGGGAGGTGTGGGTGTGGGCCTCGTCCACCGGGACCCCCGTGTTCCCACACAGCAGCCCCTCCAGCAAGGCCTCGTAGAGGAAGGCGTACTGGCCCTGGATGGAGAGAAAGGAAAGGGGGCAGAAAACAGGGTTAAAGTCCAGATCCAGGTGGCACGGAGACCCCAGACCCAGAAGGGAGGGAGGGAGGGAGGCCACTGCTCCTGCATTTCAGATTTGCACCCACTCACAAATGTTTAAGTGTGATTTTTTTTTAAATGTTTGGATCTGTGTTATTGTGTGTCATATGACTGAGTCCTATGTGCCAGGGGCAGGGCCCACTTGCCTTGGTCTGGACCATGCTGGCCCTCTGCTCCCTCATTCTCTGGACGCAGCGGAAGACGTCCACCTGGCCCTCGGAGCGGCCCATCTTCAGCAGGGAGTCCAGGGCGATGAAGGTCCCCGTCCGGCCGACGCCTGCGCTGAGCAAAAGCAGGAGGAGAGGGCCAGGGGTTCCCTGTCTGGCCCCCATTCGCCCCCACAATCCGCCCCCTCCCCTGGCACCCAGGACCCTTACCTGCAATGCACCACAATGGGGGCCGCACTGGGGGCTTCGGACGCCTGCCGGTCGACTTCCTCCAGGAGCCACAGGAGCCCTGCCGGGTCCCGGGGAAGGCCGTGGTCCGGCCACTGCAGGCACTGGAAGTGCTCCACTTTCCTTGGGGTGACCGTTCCAGCCTGAGGGGGAGGGAGATGGGGAGCAAAGCGGTGGAAGAAGAGGGTCAGAGGCAATGGGGCCGGGCAGGAGGAGTCGGAGTCATGGAAGGAGACTCCAAAGGCCATCCAGTCCCATCCCTTCTGCCCGGCAGGAAAGGACCACCAAAGCACCCCCAAGCGATGCCCATCCAGACTCCTAGATCCCTTTCTCATGGGCTCTTTCAAGCCAGGATCCGGTCCTCTGGGGTATGAACTACCATTCCCAATTTGGTCCTGTGCTGGTACGGCTGTACCAGGATATCCAAATTCATTTTCTTTCTATTTAATGTTTGCATGCATTCCAAGGTTTCAGGCAGGCCCGTAGCCAGGATTTCATTTCGGGGGGGGGGGGGCTGAAGCCTCTCAAGCCCCCCCCCCCCCCGGCTACATGCCTGGTTTCAGGGGTTTTGCAAAAAGGTGACTTCCCTTAGTTTGCAGTTCTAGGGCTAGCCACCTGTCTATCATTGTTGTGTTTGGTTCCGCTCCTTTCCCCAGGGATCTGGGGAGGAGAGGGAGCCATTTTGAGTTCAGTCTTACAGAAGGAAACTAAGCTATAGGACGTGGACCAGCTTCACCTGCAGAAAAGCTTCATTTCTTAAGAATTCCTGGGAGGAAAGTCCCAAAGCTTTGGCTGGGAGCTTACAGCCTCTCAGCCTTACAACATCTGAGGGAAACAGCCCTGAAAGGATTCTGAAGAAATTCCAGGGGGAAACAGTTTTACAGACGCAAAGAACTCCAGCTGGAGAATCTACAAGCCTTGACTGGTAGGTCTACTCGGTGCCCAAGAAGCAGTTTGGATCCGGTAGTAGAACCCACATCAGCAAAGCTTAGATAGTAGACAGCCTGGGAGAGGTTCAAACAGGGTTTTTCCTTGTTAAAGAAAGAAATAGTTCTCCAAGCAAGGTGCCTGTCCATTGTAGACAAGTTAAGAAGCATTTGTTTGACTCATTGAATATCTGGGAAGTATTTGTTCAACAATAAAGGACTTTGTTAAACTTTTCAAGCCATCTAAAGACCATTTCTTCAGGAAAATCCTTGAGGGCCTCTCTTTCGAGGCGCCCTGGCTTCACGCTGGGCACAAACTGCACGTTCTATTCAAAAGACAATTTTTACAGGCCCGGCGTGCAACAGAACAGGTCCCATCTGCAAATGTGATCAACATGCCCCTGATTCCATCCTCCCAGTCATGGATGAACCTCCCGGTCATGGATGAAGATTCAGAATGGCTCTGAAATGAGGAGGTGGGTGGGTGGGAAGGAGGGATGCCGCTGAAAGTCCCCTCCCTCTCCTTTTCCTTACCTTCTTGAGGCTGAAGGTGCGGGCCACGATCCCCGGCACGGCCCAGGTGTTGCTCAGCGTCACGGTGATATCTCCGTACTCGGCTTGCACGTCGGGCGGCCAGTACTGGTCACACTTGCGCTGCGAAAAGGGAAGAGGGTGCCAGGACTCAGGTCCAGAATGAGGAGGAGGAGTGGGAAGGGGGCTTCTTTCCAGGAGCTGAACTCAGGACCATGGCTGAGCAGGTACCTGAGAAGCCTGAGGAGGTGGACCTTAGTACCTTTGTGACTGCATTTCCTTCTATCAACCTGCATGATTTCTTCGATCCTCCGGGGAGGCCCTCCTCTCGGTCCCACCTCCATCACAAGCTCGGCTTGTGGGGACGAGGGAGAGGACCTTCTCCGTGGTGGCCCCTCGGCATTGGAACTCGCTACCCAGTGAGATTAGGCAAGCTCACCTACCCCGGCAGCCTTTAAGAAAAGCCCAAAAACCTGGCTCTTCCGGAGTGCATTTGATGTACGAACAACAAATCCCCGTGCCATGTCCGTCCCAGTATAGATCTGTCCTCTTGATGCACTTTCTCTCGTCCCTTAGTGAAGATTAACCTCATTGTTGTCTCCTTCTGAGTCTCCCCTCAAATCCATTACTCTATTTATCCATCACATCCAGGGTTTTATCACTTTATCTTTTGCATTTGGCCCGCCCACTGTGTTTTGATTCTTCTACCATTTTATTTTGCATTTGTCTATTGTATATTTTGTTGTTGTTTGCATTTTACTTTGATGCTATTATTTGCTTGTTTGTATTTTACTTTGCTTTATTGTATTTTCTAGGCTTGGCCTCATGTTAGCCACCCCAAGTCCCCTTTGGGGAGATGGTGGCAGGGTAATAATAATAATAATAATAATAATAATAATAATAATAATAATAATTATTATTATTATTATTATTATTATTACTGCTGATTGAGAAGTGCTTGGGCCAGAACAGGATCCGGCTGAGGAGCAGGAACTCGTTCGCTTTCCTAACACTCCTTTAATAATCACCTAAAATGCATTTCAGCACTTAAAACTTTACTAAATAATAAGTTTGCTATTAGATGATTGAGTCCCTATGAGGCAGGATAGATGTAAAGATGACAATAATAATAATAATAATAATAATAATAATAATAATAATAATAATAATACAACAGCCAGCAGAGTGATCTTGTCTGCTGTGAACTCATCTTGTTGTGTTTCAAATAAATAATAATAATAATAATAATAATAATAATAATAATAATAATAATCTTTACTTATATGCCGCCACCATCTCCCCAAAGGACTCGGGGCAGCTTACATGAGGACCACACAATTAAACAGGAAAGAACACTTTCAAACCAGGAACAGAAATAAACAACCAATTTTTGTTACATAGTGTAATAAATAGCCTATTTTACATGCCAAAAATGCATGTAGCGATGGATCCAAGCGTTCTGTTTACAGATAGAGTGTTGTAGTAGAGCAGTGCTTCTTAACCTTTCTAACACCGGGATCTCTAAATAAGGTTCCTCATGTTGTGGTGACCCCCAACCTCGCCTGCCTCGTGCTCTTGGATGGCGAGAGCGTGAGGCAGGCTTTGTGTGAGGCCAGGCCTTGTGCGGAGGACCCCTCGCCTGCCCCGCGCCCTCGCTGGATGACTAGAGTGCAAGGCAGGCTTTGCATGAGGCCAGGCCTCACACGAAAGAGCCCTCGCCTGGCCCACGCCCTTGGGGCGGGGCCAATGGAGGTGGCCTTGCGACCCCTCCAAAATGGCCAGGCGACCCCCCTGGGGGTCGCAACCCCCAGGTTGAGAACCACTGTAGTAGAGTCTGCTGGCAGTGATACTACTACTAGTGGGAGTAGTAGAGGAGGCAAACGAGGTGCTCAGGTGCTTGAGGAAGAGCCACAAATGAAGCGTATCCGGGCAGTTCATCAACGGATGAGGAGTTGTAGGATAAATGAAGACACTGAAAGTATGGAACTTTGCAGTAGGCAAAGTGTTGGTTACGTGCTTTGGGTTTTGTTGCTGCCGCTTCTCTTGTTGGGCTTGGGCCCTGGAACTGCAGGTTGCTGTATCCCTCGTGTGCTGACCAGCTTGGACTCTCATAAATGCGGATTTCCCCTCTCCTTGACCACGGACTGTTTCTGACACTGCCTTTTGGACTTTATTATCTTCAACTGGGACTTCTTCGACCTTGGACTGCTTTTGGATGACGGCTTCTCTTCACAGCGTTTTGTTTTGGCTTTATCTTTGAACTGTGTGATTTTGGTGCATTTTTCTAGAACTCTTATTTAATCCTGATTATTTGCCAGTTTAATCTGGTTTATTTGCTTGTTTTGGTTTTTAAATTGCTGCAAACTTTGAGTTTTAGCCAGTGGCATTAAAGGAAGTGTCTCTGAGCTCTGTTTTCTTTGATTTATTAAACTGTTGATTGTTTACAATACTGCGTCTGGCTCTTTAAAGGCACCTGGGTTCTGCCATGGAGACTTGGGCTCTCCTGCTCACCTTGTTCTGCTCCACGAGGCCCGTCAGCATCACGATGACCGGGGTCTTCTCCTGCCAGACCATCCGCCAGAAGTCCTGCACCGTCCCTGGGAGGGGGCCTGGTCAAGAGGGCAAGGGTCAGGCAGGGAAGCCCTTTCCCCCCATAATAACACCATGGGACCCTCGCCAAGGGGAAAGGGGGCATTGCTGTTGGGCCGCCCTCCTATTCCCCGCAACCTCCCTCTGTCCTCCATGACCCTAAGTCAGGCCTGGGCCAACTTCAGCCCACTTTCCAGGTGTTTTGGACTCCCACTCCCACAATTCCCAACAGCCGGTAGTTGAAGTCCAAAACACTAGGAGGGAGGGCCGAAGTTGGCCCAGGCCTGCTGCACACCTCATTCCCTCCCATCTAGAGGATGAGGGTGTAACATAGCAAACTCTTCCCTACATAAAAAATCATTTACTAACCAATGCAATTGAATATTTAGATTTATACGCCAATAATTACAATTAGACAAAAGATCTTAAATAAATAAACTGATAAGAATAATTAAGACAAACTCTTAATGTAAAGATGTGGAAGAGAAGATGAACATGGGAGAGCATGAGACGGTATGGCTACCGGTTTTAACATTGGATGACAAGAGTATGCTCTCTTTTTGTTGTAGTGGACATGTGGCATTTTGAATACTTCTGCTAGTATGCAGAACAGGAATTGAGTGGAAGAAATACTTGTAATAATGATAAGAAACACAAGGCTTCTATTCAAATCGCACCCCCAATTCCTCTCCTCGGAGATATAATAGACATTCGTGAAGGTCTAATGTCCACAACCCCCCCCCCCCCTCTTTTGTGTGAATTATGTTTTGAAAATGCTCAATAAAACTTATTAAGAAAAGAGAAGACTGTTCTTACCTTGAGCCGCAATGAAGCGCTTGGGAGCCCGGTAGCCCTACAAGAAGGAGCAGCCGTTAGCAAGGGACTCGGGAGCAGCTGCTCTCAACCTCTACCCAGAAGCAAGGATCAGGCTTTGCTTGCTTGCTTTGAACAAACACGTTTCTAGACAGCACTTCTTCACCTGTGGGTCCTTCCCCAGGTGTTTTGCCCTCTAACTCCTCGAAATCCCAGCCAGTTTACCAGCTGTTAGGATTTCTGGGAGCTGAAGGCCAAAACACCTGGGGAGAGACCCACAGGTTGAGAACCACTGTTGTAGACCTTGTAGAGGAAGAGCAATTCAGGTAGAGACCCGTTCATCCCAATCTTCCTCCCAAGAGACTAAGAAGAGCATGCAAACTGATATGGCCCAAAACCGACCCTACTGTTGCAACTCAGAGTAAGCTTCACCTTACTTCCAAACACCACCACACAAGAGCTGTAGTTTTATAGTTTATTGAGGAAAAAATCCAAGTCAAAATAAAGAATAAGCATTGCAAAGTTCCAAAGATTGAGGTTAAATGCAGAATACAGTTCCAAAGATCTTCAGGTAAAAGCAGGAGACACAATCCTATTGGCAAAGTTCAAACCAGAGTCCCAGGTACAAGCAAGGAAACATTTGCCCCAAGAATCACAATGCAAGAAATCCCAAACATACATGAAGCTTTCAGGCTAGTAAGCTACGTTGAACTGATGCTTTCTCAGGGTTTGCAAGAAGCCTAAATACCTTTCTAACATGAAAACATTAGGCTCTCGTCATCATAAAAGCATTGCGATGACCTTTCATCGAGCTGGCTTCTCATCTGCCGGCCAGACGAGAACTCCGCCTGACCCTCAGATCAAGACGAGCTTGCCGGGTCAAGTCACTATCTACACTTTCGGTATCAGCGTGGGAAGGCACCTGCTCACGATCTCCTTCGTTAAAATTCCTTTCTGCTGGGAACGGTTGTATTGACACTGCACTGTCTGTGGGAGCCTCAGAAGCAGGCCCAGAGATGTGAGGCACAGGCAAAGAGCCAGGAAGCTGAATCCCAGCAGGAATCTGAATCCCATCATCCCCATCATCAGAAAACAGCTCAGCCACAACACCTACTAAGTACTTCATCACATGGCAAAAGTATGATAGCTGGGACCCTAAGTTGGTTACGCAACACGGGTTTGAATCAATGAGGGGAACACGTGCGCGAGACAGTGGAGCAAGTGAGAGACGCAGCTGCATCAGAGTCATGGCAACATTGTTTGTCAGAAAAGAGGAGAAGGAACATTTCTATCCCGTTTACTGTCTTCGCACGCCATTGTTTATCATTTAACATTAAATAAGTCTTGCATTAATTCACCCTTATCCTCTCCCACCTGAATTAAATGGCTTCACTGCTATCCTGTTGCAGCTGCGTCTCTCACTCGCTCCGCTGTCGCACGCACATCTTCCCTTCATTAATTCCGAGCCGCATTGCGCAACTAGCGTAGTGTAGTGTAGGGTCCCAGCTATCATACTTTTGCCCATCACATTGAAGCTGGAAAGTGTTTGGTACTACTACATCACACTAGAGAACGAATCCACTTTAAATCTGGTTACTGCCTTCTGCAGAATTATGGGGTGTGTAGTTTAGGGAGGAGGCTTTAACAGCCTCACTAAACTACAAACCCCAGAATTCTGCAGGAGGCAGAAAGCGGATTTAAAGTGGATTCATTCTCTAGTGTGATGATTCCCGTAGAGTATGTTTATAGTCGTGCTCAGTCATACTCTGTTTAGAAATGAAATGCATGATTTTCCTACATTCATTACACTCTTAAATCTTAAATCTTCATTACACTCTTAAATCTATCCTACCGGCTGTTAGGAATGGTGGGAGTTGCAGTCCAAAACACCTGGAAGGAGGGCCCAAGTTTGCCTGCTCTAGTGTGATGAGGCTGAAAGTGGGGTCAAGCTGCTTTTCTTCTCCAGTGTAGATGTGCCCAAGGTCCTGACCCTGAACACCCTCCAAATGGGATGCAATGCCTTGCCAAGACCCACACACTATGAAGGACCCTCCCCAAATGCTGCCCACCAGGTTTCACCCCCCAAAACCAACTCACACCTGCGTACAGGTGACACCGGACCCCGAAACTCCAGATGATCTCTCCCAATGGCTTCATGTAAATGTTAAATAACATGGGAGATAGTATTGACCCCTGCAGGACCCAACAAGACAATGGTTCTGGGGTCGAGCAGGAACTCGACCCATGAGCAACTGCTCTCACCCTCTGCCCAGAAGGTTGCTTGCTTTGAACAAACACGTTTCTAGACCAGAGGTTCTCAACTACTGTTACTTGGTGGCTTTATATGCCAATAGTTCTATTCTATCACACACTATGAAGGACCCTCCCCCAAATGCTGCCCACCAGGTTTCACCCCCCAAAACCAACTCACATCGATGTAGCTGGCGTTGATGTAGTCGGCTTTGCCATCGCTGGTCTGGAGCACCACACGGGACCCATCGTCTGCAATGGAAGGGCCGGAGAAAGAGGTGGAGGGGAGCATTTGGGCCCCCAAAACGACCCTTTGATCTCAACCCAGACCTCTCTGGGTTGAAAGCCCTTTGCAAAACCCCTCACCCCCTGGGCAAGACCCCCTCCCTCTCTCTCCCCAGCTCACAGAAGAAGGGGAGGGGGAAAAACATGGGAGATGTGGTCCCAAGGAGGGTCTCACATGGCAGGATGCTCTTGTAGCGGTTCTTGGGCAGGTTCTGGGGCTCCTTCCCGGCCAGGCAGGGGTGCAGCAGCCCAGAGACCAGCTTCTGTGGGGAAGGAGCAAAGGGGGAAGAGGGTGAGCCAGCCAATGGCTTTTGGGATCAGGTCTCATGGTGTTATGGCTGATGGGAGAGATAATACCAAGAGCAATCCTTTATTAGAGGCAGAAAAGTATGTTTTATTTTCAGCTGAGACCCTGGCGTGGAACCCCCTCCAAAAGCAAAGCAGAGTGAGGAGAAAGGCATTGACTTTCCCTTTTAGACATCTTCAAATGCAGGCAAACAAAGAAACATGCTTCTACATACATAACATCATCACTACGTCACCTTAAGCATCATAGAAATGTCAAATTATATATTTCTACATGCAAGGGGCATGTCTCCATATTTTTTCTAGAGCGGTTTACAGTTTACACAGATTCTTTTGACCTGTCAGGAGGGAGGGAGGGTGTTCCGTCTCCCAGGAGCCCGGTTTGCTTTACCTTACAGTTGCTTGAAGTTGCTTCCCCTTGCATTTTTCCCGGGGATGCTGCAGCTCTGCAGAGCCCTGAAAGTTCACAGTTTCAGAGGCTGGAAAGCCAGTCTGCAGGCCTTTTGCACCTATTGTCTTAGAAGGTGTCTTTTTGGGTTTAGAGGCCGCCCTTTTTCCCAGGGAAGAGATCTCCATTTTGGAATCTCCCCTGCCTTTTTAGTTTGGAGAAGGAACTTCAGATGTGCTGGTGGTTAGCCAGGGTAGCTCTGGGAAAATCATTGCATGTACTATTAAGATATTAAGACTATTAAGATACTATAGCTAGCTAAGCTTGATTGAGTGATTGAGTTATGGGCGATTGAGAAATTGAAGATTGAGATATTATAGATAGATATTGAAGACTGAGACTGAGATACTATAGATAGAAAAGACTATTGAGAAACTGAGTTATATAGATATAGAAAGAGAGACTTCATTGCTTTATCTCCAGAACTAACCATAAGCATATACAGGGAAAGACCTGGTCTTTCTAAAGAGTAACAGCTTAGGGTTAGGGTGAAAAGATTCCAGGATCTTCTCTGCCTTCTGGGGAAAAGTTAACTCAGTCACTGGAGGAGAAGGGAAAGAAAGAATATCTCTGTGGTTTCACCTATTGACTGTTCTGTTTGTAACCTCGATAAGCTGTGCCAAGTCCGCAAGGACTTTGAAGAATAAATATCCCTTTTTTGATGTTCAAAACCTTTAATAGCCTCAGTTCCTGGGAATATCTCAAGCTTCTAAAGAAAGACACCCGCAGTTCGCTCAGACATAGAGAGAAGCACATCTTAGTTTTATTTTTATAACGTCTGGGTGTAACGGCACAGAGGGAGACTCCTTACTTTTAGAAGGAAGAACAGGTATGGCCTGGACTAAGCTGGACCAGGTCTCTGGAATGCATAGGTAACAGCCCCCCCCCCCCCACTTTTTCTCCCCATTTCAACACAGATCTCCTTCAGCATCCTTTTGTCCTGTCAACTTGGCTTCCTAATACAGAAAGAACCTGATTTTTCTACATGTCAGTGCTTCTAAAGCACATACAATATATGTATAAATATTTACATTTCCAATATCTCCACATCAACTGGGCCTATAAAGCGGGCCAGGCAGCAGCAGCAGAATGACCCTGGGAACCCCCCCCCTCCCCCCCGGTGGCCCCAGACCTGGAACTCCATGTCCCGCCCGGCTGCTGGCCTCTCGGCACCCTCGTCTTCCCTTTCGCCGTCCCTGTTTGCCGCGGCCTCCATCTCGGCCCGCTTGTGCCTCTTCAGCACCTCCGGCAGCTCTGGCACCGGGATCCGGGTGTGCAGCTTGCTTGCCCCTGGGCAGAGAAGGAGGGGAGGGTGGGTGAGGCCTGGCTGGGCAGGGGTCCCTGGGCGTCCTATTAGCAGGCAGCAAGCTGAACATGAGCCAAGAGTGTGATGAGCCAGCTCAAAAGGCCAATGCAATTCCCGACTTTGGAACACCCTCCCCAAAGACATCAGATTAGCACCCACGTTGGCAATCTTTAGGAAGAGCTTGAAGACCTGGCTATTCCGATGTGCCTTTCCGGAATAGGATAACCTCCAGCACTACGTCCCAGAAGCACTTTATTTGAGTTTAAGACTCTCTGCACATTGCACTTGCCCTGAACTCCAACAGACCACCTGCCACACCCAGCACTTTTTAATCTGTACCCATTACTTGGTCCGGCCCTAGTTTTTACTGTGTTATAGTGTAATGTTTTGTTGTTATTGCCTTATGTTTTTGATTTTGCTTTGAGTGTTTTGTTTTGCTGTTGTTGTGTTGAGGCCTTGGCCTTTGTAAGCCGCATCGAGTCCTTCGGGAGATGCTAGCCGGGTACAAATAAAGTTTAATAATAATAATAATAATAATAATAATAATAATAATAATAATAATTCTAGGCTGCATCAAGAGAAGGCTAGAATTGCAGCCCTGCTCTGTGTTCCGTTTTGCTCAGACAGTTGGTGCATCAGAAGAAACGGATCAGTCAGGTATTGCACCACCTGACATCAGCCGGGAAGTAGCAGCCAATAGTGAAAGGACCAAGGCAGAGACATCTCCAGCTCATCCCTTGTTTGGGTATCAGCCAGCACGTCAACGACTTAAATCAAGACATAGTTTTCTAAGATCAACAGAGACACTCGCTGTAACACCTCAGCAAGCAAGAGTCCAAAAGTGGCAGGCTCAAATCCAGAACCTCAACCAATGGCTGATCCCAAATGAGAGACTCCCCCCTGGGCACACAGAAGACTGGGCGACTTGGAAGGCGCTGAACAGACTGCGCTCTGGCACCACGAGATGCAGAGCCAACCTTCAGAAATGGGGCCACAAAGTGGAATCCACAACATGCGAGTGCAGAGAGGAGCAAACCTCTGACCACCTGCTGCAATGCACCCTGAGCCCTGCCACATGATGCACAATGGAGGGCCTTCTTATAGTAACAGCAGAGGCACTCCAAGGGGACAGAAACTGGTCAAAGGACATCTAATCAACTACCAAACTCACAAATTTTGTATTTTCTCTGTTTGTTTGCTTTGTTCTGTTAGAAATGTAATATAATTTGACTGGTTGCCCTGACACGACAAACAAACAAAACAAACAAACAGTTTAAAAAATCCATGCTAAATCAAAGCAACGATGCAGCTGGACACATACAGGCACCCCGGCCCCATATGAGGGGTCTTGCCACGCTGCATAGCTTGACCATTCCTCTGTCCTCTATCCCCTCTTTTTCCGTCGGTGGGTTTCGTGAGGTGGTCTACCTGTGTCTCCTTCTCTGTCGCTTCCTCTGGTATCCCCAGCCTTGGCTCTTTTTCCTATCATACGGTCTATGTGTGTGAATATGTGTATGTGTCTGTCTGTATGGATGTGCATGCACATGCACACACATGTATATATGTGTAAAAGGTAAAGGTTTCCCCTGACATTAAGTCCAGTCATGCTCAACTCTGGTGCTCATCTCCATTTCTAAGCTAAAGAGTCGGCGTTGCCAGAGGCAACCCTAGGTAATTTTCAACGGTAAGCAAACAGTATTTTGCCCCCCCCCCCCCCATCATGGGAGTTCTGTGTGCCATATTTGGTTCAATTCCATCACTGGTGGAGTTCAGAATGCTCTTTGATTGTAGGCGAACTATACATCCCAGTAACTACAACTCGCATATGTCAAGGTCTACTTTCCCCCAAGAGCGCCTCAATAGCGCCCCTGGCAACATCAACTCTATTGCAAAGACTTACTTTGCGTAAGGGTTGAGCCGCCCCTGGGCGTTGCCCATAGACACCTCCAAGGTCATGTGGACAGCATGACTGCACAGAGCACCATCACCTTCCCGCCAGAGTGGTACCTATTGATCTACTCGCATTTGCATGTTTCCAAACTGCTACATTGGCAGAAGCTGGGCCTAACAGCAGAAGCTTGATGAGTCTAAGGCTACCACCCAGCCATTTGGCAAACACCGGCCATTCTTAATCCAGTCTTCATTGTTTCCCTTTCACCTACCTCCCTTCCACCTCATTGGCTGGTCAGCCAAAAGCAGGGCCAGAGCCCTCATTGGATCTCCTCCTGGCTTGCTGATGTCACAGCCAATCATAACAAAGCCAGCTTGGGGGGGGGGGGCATGGGAACTTTTGAATCTAAAGGTGATATGTATATTGTATTTCTCTGCCCAGTGCGTTATGTCGATTTTGTTGGCAGGCTACTGCAATCGTCACCCTTTCCAGCTGGAATGAAATAAAACCTCGGTGGCTTTCGACAACAAGCTGACCCTGCTCCTGGATTCAACCCACCAGCTTTTCAGTCAGCAAGGTCAGCAGCTCACCAGAAGGACTGTATATATGTGTATATGCAGCAAAAGTAACATCACAACATAGTTGACAGCTGTCATGTGATGCTCTGCCCCTTCCCAGCCCTGCCCCATTGCCTTATGCATCCTGCCAAGCCCCAATACTCCTTCCAAGGGTTGAGAAGGGGTCAGGAACACGGTCTACCCGAGGCCCACCTGCGCGCTGCTGCTGCAATGGGACGGCCCCTTGGCCCCTGGGCGCCTCCATCTTGGTCTGCTTCTTCTTCTTCCTCTTCTTCCTGCAGAAGGTGGGAAGCAACGTTGGGCACAAAAGGGTGAATAAAGGCTCAGAGCTGCAATGCTTCCAAGAGGTGGACGTGGTAGCTTTGGCAGGGTGGCATGCCAGGAGACATGGACCCAAATGCATAAACAAAGACACTGTGGCCTGTGTTGCAGCATAGCAAGGAGAGGCAGGGAGAAAGAGGGCTGGAATAGATGACCCCCAGGAAGAGCCCAGGATCCCCCCTCAGCCCACCACGATGGGCATAAGAAGGCAGGGGACTCTCTCAGAGGGCTTCTATGCAGGTTAGGGTCCTGGACTAGGTGGCCTTTGGGAGCCCCCCACCACTAGCCCTCGCCCCCAGTACGGACCTGGCCATCAGGAGCCCCAGAAGCAGCAGCAAGGCCAGGGCCAAGGCCAGCAGGAGGCAGGTCAGCAGGAGGGACAAAGGCAGCAGCGCCCCTCCTTCTTCAGCCGGCTGGACATGTCCTGAAAGGAAAGGTGGGCATTAGAAGAATGGGGAGGGGGTCCTCCTGTGGGACCCTGGAACACAGCAGGCAAGGTGGGCTCCATCTGAATCAGAGAGATCAGGAAAGCCCCTTCACTAGAAACATTAGAAAAGGACCTTAAAACCTTTGGCGAGTAGGTACACAACACAACACTATTGCTCCCCTCAATGCTTCTGTCAGTGGAGTACATGGCCACCCACCCACCCACCCACCCCCTCAAATGGGAAGTTTAGTTTCACAACCCTGTGTATCTTTGTGAGTTCCCGGCAAATAACTTGTGAGCTCCCAGCAAAGGCCACCTTAGTGGCATTTGCACACATTATTCTCTGATACATCACACATGCTTCTTTGGAGACTAGGACGCAGTGGAGCAATGGCTTCAAACTACAAGAGAGGAGATTCCACCTGAACACGAGGAAGAACTTCCTGACTGTGAGAGTTGTTCAGCAGTGGAACTCTCTGCCCCGGGGTGTGGTGGAGGCTCCTTCTTTGGAAGCTTTTAAACAGAGGCTGGATGACCATCTGTCAGGGGTGCTTTGAATGCAATATTCCTGCTTCTTGGCAGAATGGGGTTGGACTGGATGATGGCCCAGAAGGTCTCTTCCAACTCTTGGATTCTAGGATTCTATGATGCTAGCAAGTTTGCCTTACAGCATATTGCTTCTTCTCCTCAGAGTAGTGTATTGCTTCTCCAAACTGTATTCTAAAATCCATACAGTCATACCCCATTGGATGTGGCCCGAACATGCTGGCTGACCTACATTACCAGCTGCACATAATAATTAACATCATAATTTTTTTTAACACACACTTGATCCTGCTACCACTTACTGTAACAAAGCTTAAGTTTTGCTTTTCTGCTACTTGTGTTGCTCTTTTTTGAACATACAAAGGACTATTCTTCTGCTGGTCTCCACGCATCATCTAACCGTAACACTCCCCACCCCTCCATCCACATAGAGTCCTGTGCCGCAGCGCTTACCCATAGAGAAGTCATAGGCAATGCAGCTGGATGTCTCCTCCTGCAGAAATGGCAATTGGGGGGGGGGGGGGGAAGAGAGATGATCAGTCCTATGGCCTCCCTTCCCTTGGCCCTCCCTCCCACTGACTTCTGACCCTGTCCAGGCAGGGATTTGTTTATTTATTTATTTATTTATATTTATTTATTTACTATCTTTGTATACCACCTTTTTCAGCCCATGGGTGACTCCGGAAGGCCTGAGCCAAAGCCCCCCCCCCCCCCCCCCGCCTTGGCCCTTCAAGGCTGGAAAAGGGCGTCCCAAGCAGCCCTGCACCGCCCCCACTCCAGGCAAAACAAAGGGAACCCCAGCTCCACCTCCAACCTGATAAATCCCCTCCCTATAAGTAGAGGGCCACCAATCCTGGAAAGGAAAGGGAGTCAAGGGGGGGGGGAGAGAGAAATTGGACCCTTTGGCAATACGCACACACACCTATTTTGGGAGGGGGCCAACCCCAGCCTGGTCTCAGAGTCTAGTCAAAAAGGGGGAGCTTCTGGGCATGCACAGAGTGCCTTCCAACCCATGGAACCTATAGAATCATCAGAACAAGCCCCCCCCCCCCCCCCCCGGTGAGGAGAACCCTTCATGTTCAAAAGTCACAAGGTGCAGGTCAATCAGCTAAGGAATCCAAAGTTACTTTCCCAGAGTAATTGTTGATTCCCATGAGGGTCAAAAAGAAGTTCATTCATGCTGCAAAAAGTCTGGCCACTAATAGCCCGGTTTTCCCAAAAGCCACCCCTCTGCAAGGAAGGAAGCACCATCAGCCAGGACTGGGACCAAGTGATCCTCCTCCTCCAATGTCACTTAGGGCACATCTACGCTGACCATTTAATGAAGTTTCAAACCAGTGTTGAAGAAAGTGGTCTTGCCATGCGGATGAGTATAGACGGAGGAAATCCTGGAAGCAACTGGAGGCCCTGATGGTGATTACACAACCACAAAGAAAAGCCATGCTTATTAAGGGATTTCGTTGGCATACATTCGTAGGAGCCTGTTGTCTAGTTGCCACAGACTGAAGCTGGCTTGGGACTGCATTGAATGGCCAGTGCAGATGGGCCTTAGTCATGAGAAAGCAGCTCAAACCCTTCTGGTTCCACTACAGGAGGCTCCCACGGAGTGACCGAGTGACCATGCAAAGCTGTTGGAGGAAGGAAGGGCTTCCCTGCGCTCAGTGGGTCAGAGAGGAGGGGGCGGTCCTACCTGGTTCCATCGGCTGACCACTCGGAGGAGGATGGTGTAGTTCCTGCCCTCGCGCAGAGGGGCGTTGAGGAGGCCGTGCTGGTCACTCCCATCTCCAACCACAAAGCCCATTGGCCTCGTGAAGTTGGAAGCTGGGATCACGGCAGCAGCATAGGTCTGGTTGTCCGAGCCGTCAAAAGGCTGGAGCTGCAGGGAGGGGCAGGCGCTGGCGTTGGGGGTCAGCCCCAGGTAGGGGGACACAAAGAGCTGGTACTCCCTGCAAGGAGAAGGGGAGTAGATGGGGTCACGCTGGGAAATGCAGGCCATGCCCCAGAGGACGGGGTCAGGATCCAAAGGGACCTTCACAGAGGAGAGAGTTGGTTGGCCAAGACCCACCACATGCATCTCAACAGGGAGAAACGCACAGTAGGACACTTTGGCAGTCAAAAACGAAAGGCACCAAGATGGCATGGATTGAAATGGTCAAAGGTTGGGAAGCCATGTCTTTGAGGAGGAGGTGTTTAGCCTGGAGAGAAGAAGGCTGAGAGAGAGAAGGGGGCATGGGCGCCATGTTTACATGCTGGAAGGGCTGCCCCATTGAGGAGGAGGAGGAGGAGGAGGAGGAGGAGGAGGAAGAGGAGAGCATGTTTTGTGCTCCTCCAGAGCCTGGGAAGAAATCGCGTGCAACTCTTCCTCATGTTTAGGTGGACACCATATTTAGGTGGGTACCATGTTTACATGCTGGAAGGGCTACCCCATTGAGGAGGAGGAGGAGGAAGAGAAGGAGGAAGAGGAGGAGGAGGAGGAGGAAGAGGAAGAGGAGGAGGAGAACGTGTTTTGCGCTCCTCCAGAGCGCAAAACTCTTCCTCATGTTTAGGTAGACACCATGTTTAGGTGGGTACCATGTTTACATGCTGGAAGGGCTACCCCATTGAGGAGGAGGAGGAGGAGTGGGAGGAGGGGGAGGAGGAAGAGGAGGAGGAGGAGTGGGAGGAGGAGGAGAGCAATGGAGCCTTGGATTCAAATGGAAGGACGCAAAGATTCCACCTAAAAATGAGGAAGAACCTCCCGACATTAAGCGCTCTTTGACCACAGAATCTGCTGCCCAAGAGTCCAGGGGAGTCTCCTTCTTGGGGTGCCTTGAATCAGAGGCTGGAGGGCTTGGGTGGTGTGTCCCTGCATAGCAGGAGCCTGGGCTGGGGGGCCCTTGGGGTCCTTCCTGATTCCAGGACCCTGACACCAAACAGGGAAAGCAATTGGGATGCCAGATCCATGCTCAGCCATCTGTGGAGGAAATGGCCCACAGAGTGGCCACTCGGCCGCTATAACCTTCAATGGAATGGAATGGGATGCAGGGGTTTGGCATTGGGCAAAGAGCCTCCCCACCTCCAATGGAGGGCTGGTGCTTGAGAAGGAGACCCGTGGGATCTTGGCCCCAGGTTGCATTGGGCATCAACGCTTGAGTGCTCTTCTCCCAAACTCTCCTCCCTCCCTTCCTCTCTCTTCCTGCTCACCTGATGGGTCCATGGAGGTCTGGGAGGGGCTCCAGGTGCAAGAAGACCGTCCCGTCCGAGGCTGAGATGTTGTTCACCTCCAAGGTCCTGGCGCTGGGGGGAAAGAACGGCTCTGTAGGGGTCAGGGACACTGAGGTCAGTGAGAATGCATGGCCACCAGCACAAAAGGTCCCAAGGCAAGCACCCCCCCCCCCCAAACAAATGTCCACGCAAATGGTGCAATCAGGTCAACAACAGCTGGAGTCATCTCACAGGCAGAAGAAAGGGAGGCAAAGGGAGTGTGCCAAATCCTGGAAGACCCACCCCCCTTCCGCCACCGCCAACACACACACACACAATTTCAGCCACATTGGGGCTTCAGCAACAGGGGCAGAGCTTGGAATGGGGACCTCTTTGGAGTACAGTTCCCACAATCCCCAGGAAGCATGGACAGTAGGACTGGGAGTTGTGTGCATGAAGCACAGGCCGATGCTGCTTCTGGGCCTGTCCTGGGACCTCACAAAAGGAAAGGAAACAAGGAAGGAAGTAAACAAGGAAGGAAGGAAAGAAGGAAGGAAGGAAGGAAGGAAGGAAGGAAGGAAGGAAGGAAGGAAGGAAGGAGAGAGGACAGAGTGGGGAATCAGATCCAAGCAAGCAAGGAGCTTCAGCCTCAGCACCAAAGCAACTCTTTCTGCACCAGAATGCACTCTTGAGTTGTGTATCCCTGCACAGCAGGATAGAGTTGGACTAGATGACCCTTTGTGTCCCTTACAGCTGTTTGGGCTCCTTCTGCCA